ATCGGATCTGGTTCAAGGAGGACGTACTGTTGGAAACAGTTACGGAGCTCGAGTACGGAGCCCACCTTCATGATGAGCCTTCTCATCAGGGGAAAGCAGATGACCACGAGCCATGTTGACAGTCAGGTTTAGAAATGCCTTTGCTACACATGCTTACCTTTACAAGTATCTTCAAACACGAAATTTCCTCTCTTTCGTTAATAATTGTTCATTTTCTCAGGGTGACCTTATAATTATGAAACGGTGCAAAAACCGATAAACTGTTCTAAAAAAGTTCAGAAGAATGCAGCAGCGGCTAAGCGACGGATACCTAGGTTATTCGTGCTGGGGAATCTGTTCATGATGCTAGAAAAAATCCTTAATGATTACTTTTTTTGAAAGTGCAAAAATTGAGGGTGACCTTATAATAATGAAACGTACTGTATATCGGACAAGCGGACATGAAAATTTCATTTGGTTAAGTGGTCTTAAACAGAATTCGTCTCATAATATGGACCTCGAACAAGGTAGATGGGGTGTAAGAGTGCAGGGAATAACAGCATGGACCCATCCGCGTCACGCATCACCCGCATCGCCAATGCCATGGTTCTCAATTTTGTAGGCTTAATGAAAGAACTTTTCACTAACTCGCTTAACAGCATTTTTTGCGCGATCTGCAACTCCATATGTACTGAACATCCATCCAAAATATTTACCTCCCGTTCTTCCTATTAAATGTAGGATTCTTCACATGCTCGAATTCATTCGATGCTAGGCTCCTTCTAAAATTTGATTTCCGGTGTTGGTGAACGTCAACGAGTCCTTAAAATAACGCACAGAAAAGTCAAGATTACTCAGCTGAATTCGTGGAGGAAGCGACCCTATCGCTCTTAGTAAAGAGAGTATAGTTCCTTAAAGACGGAATTTGTTCACTATTATAATGATTACATGATTGATAGCTATCCTTCTTATATACAAAGCAGTAACTTGGTTTGTCGGTATGTCGGTATGTCGGTATGTCGGTCTGTCCGTCCGGTTGCTTTGTGATTATGATAAATATAGTGATATGGAAAACTTATCCTACTTTATATAATTCGCTAAGTGTGTCTGTTGGTGTGTCGGTGTGTTTGTGTGTGTGTCGGTGTGTGTGTCTGACCGGAAATTCATGACTCCTGTCCCCGTGGACCTAGAGCGTTCAAATTTGGTAGGAGTAAAGGGGGCAGGATGGGAACACCTTTGGTAAAAGGCAGGTCCGGACTCCGTTCACAGGGAGCGAGGCGTGCACGATAAAAATTTCAGGACGCAAATTCATAACTCTTGTCCACGTAGACCTGGAGCGTTCAAACTTGGTAGGAGCACAGGCGACAGGATGGGAACACTTATGGTGGGTGGCAGGACCAGAATCCGTGCACAGGGGGCGGGGTTTTGCCCGAAATAGTCAAACAGGCCCTGGGACGTTCAAACTTGGCAGGAGTACAGGCGGCAGGATGGGAAAATTTATCGTAAGTGGGAGGACCGGACCCCGCTAATAGAAGGCGAGGTTACGTCAAAATTTTCAGTTTGGCTCTAGGGCGTTCAAACTTGGTAAGAGGCAGGCGGCAGTATGGGAGCACTTATGATGAGTAGTAGGGCCGGACTCCACCCCCTAAGGACGGGTTTCCGCGAAATAAATGAGTGGAAGTCCATAACTCCTGATCCCTTGGACTTGGAGAGCAAAATCAGTAGGAGGAGGCAGGATGGAAACACTGACAATAGAAGAGAACTCAGAGAAGAAGATCACCAATCACCTCCTAGCGCCTTTGTTATTTACGATCTAGCTTTGACTTTTTGATATGTTTCATTCGACAAGAAGGTTAAGTTGTGTGATTATAAGGAGATGAATTTGGTTCATTTCTTGCTATTAGATTACGACCGCTACCCAGCAGAGTTTGCGATTAAGTAAAAGATCACGGTTTCTCTTTGCTTTGATATCAATCTTAGCAAAATTTATCCGACCCCTAATAATGTTAGATTCACAGTTAATGATGTAGAAAAGGAGGTACATCTATAAGGCATTTGATAGTCTATACTCTCGCTCAGCGAAACACCGAAATAACCTAGAAAAAAGGGGGAAGTATTTCATTAGTCTGATGTTTTTCGGGCGAAGTCCCTTTGCCCCAAGAAAGAGGAGAGCCCGTGATGATAGCATTGAGGAACATTGATGGTAGCTNACATAGTAACCTCAGCCGCGGTGAAGTCTCTGAATACTATTTTTCTCTGAATAATCACCTTTGTGATATTATACATCGTATAATTCTATTCGGACACAGCGAAGATGGCTTACAGGAAAAATCGCTCCCAATTCCGAGCTAATTCTTAGGGTGTAGAGCTTTCTAGGAAAAAGGAGAATCCGAATTATTATTTACGCATAGCAAATTTCTCACAGGAAGGGGGAGCGCCCGGCGTAGCCGGGTGAACCCGTACGAAGGAAGAGAGCCTGGCGTTAGCCGGGCGATCCGACTGGTTCAGTTACATTGTGAAGAGAAATCTTGAAAGAGCGCTCCCAAAAAAGTAAAATAGCCGAAATTTTGTGTGCTCGTGTCCGCGAAAAGGACACGATGGTATAGAGGCAGTAGGCAGGACCATCCTCACTTTAACAGTATGGGAAAACCTTTCCCAAAGTTAGCCTATGCCATGATGGTTGCAAACGATAATAACTTCCAACTAACAATAACCCGATCGAGGTATAAGATAAAACCAAAGCCATTGCGATAATGTAACGCCACAGTAATCCATTTTATGGGCTGATAAACAAGAATTTGATTGAAGGACTTTGGACCGAAACATGCTTTATTTCAATGATACAGAACTAAAGTTGATGCAAATGATACATTACAAAAGGTACAAAATGTAACTTCAAACAAATTTTCGAACGAGGATCAATCCGAGTCGTGTATTCGTTTAAAACTTTTACAGTTCAGGCAACTATGATGAGTTGCCTTACTTCCTCGTAAAAAATCATTTGTAGGATAAATCGAAAATCAGACCATTCACTGGTCACATATTGCGAACAAACGCATCGAATCACAACGAAGTGAATCTATTGCCGATTTTCGAAGCTACCCTATGTTCATGCACCAAACTGTTAACTTATTGATAATCAGTCAATATCAGGCAAATGAGAGATTCAGTACCGTAATATACAATTTGACTTAAGGCACTCGAAGTGTCGAGCTTGATCCAGAAAGGAATAATTATATGGCTATAAACAGGAACAACTTTAAACGACCTCCATTTTCCGCGGTTCTGGTTCGGGACTTGCCGCAATGAGCTGAAACGATCGACATTAAAAGAGCTATATAAAGGATATGTGAGACCAAAACAAAGTCATGGAGACTATTGCTGGAAAAGGAACAGAACAAAAACAGCTGTGGAAAAGAAGGCAGTGAATTATAAGTCGAACAAGAAAGTGTTCAGTTGCCACGTTGTAGCTGTAAATTAGCGGGACAACAGGAACAGTGCAGCGCTCGCTTTGTTCTGGGCGTCGTAATGGCCGCAAACAACCCAAATTTCAAGGGTTAACACTTTATCTGGGTGCTCCTCTGTGGACCATTAAGTATAAGTCCATTAAGACAAGAAAGCTTTTATGAGTGGCCTCCGAAGCAGCCAAATTGATGTCCAGCGAGGTGACTAACTCCTTCCGACCTAATTGCCGTCTATGTCGTATACCGTAAATCAGCCCGCTCCCCCTTTCCTCCCCAAATCCGAGTAATCAAGTGTTCGTTGGAACGCCGCTACGTTTTGAATGGAATTGGAAGTTAAGCGCATTGCAAAACGGAATAAAGAAAGCGTAGTTCTTCCTTCTTTCATAACAGCGTAGGGAGCCAGTCATGGACAGAACCGTCGAAACGGAACGAGGAGGTGATGGAAAATCGTGTTTGCAGAAATGAAAAGAAAAAAGATACGAAACTGATACCGGAAAGGTAGCAAGCAGGACTTCTTCCGTTAGTCAGTGGAATATTTCGTTTCGAACATTTGCTGAACGTTTAAAGATCTTACCTGATGTTTCTGCGCCTGTGGTCGAACGTATATAGCATAAGCCAACGGTAGGAGGGCAATGGAGAATAACTTCAACATGGTCGACGTGCTGAACGAGTATTTCATTCCTTCTATCGACAAAAGTATGCTACGCTTTTTATTTGAAAGACTGATGTGTTATTAAATAAGAGTTACTATAAGTATAGAAGCATCACGCAGAATAGTCGACAGCGCTTTTTACGTGGCCCTTCTCGATCTGGAGAAAGTGATCGATATTCTACTGGGACCAGCTGTCTAGAGAGAACCAAACCTTCCAGAGCACCGGGACAATCACACGCACACCCCAGCTTCACAACAGCAGTGGACGTCTCATTCACCGAAGGTCCCCAGCTCTGGGTCCGTTTTTCTTCCTACTAACATTGGATGTCATCACAAGGAGACTCAAGAAGGAGTCACTGAAAACTATACACTGATGGTTTCGCTTTGATAGTAGAAAGAAGTGAAGAATCCCAAGACGAACTGCAGAAATGGAGAGCGTGCTGTCAGAGAATGGACGTTGACTAAACGTAAAGAAAATCAAGTTTTTCTGCTCCAAGGAGTGCATGAGCTGATCGCGAATCGAAGATGGAGTCGTCAAAAAAAGTACAAGACTGTGGTACGTAGGATGTGACCTAGCCGGTCACCGGTAGCAAACACCAGGCTTTGAGGAGGGACTCCAACAAGCGATACATGGATGGAGCAACAGTAGTTCAGCGACATCTTCAGTGATCGCTACCTTTAATGCTTCACGAAGCTTGAAGGAAGGGTTCAGAAACAGTAAAAAGGTACTCTGCAGCAGCAAATGCTGACCAATGGGCAGGAATTGTGAAAGGTGACTTCCCTTCGCAGATGGACAGGATACAAATAAGGGTAAACGGCGGTCGCACGAACAGCTCCTATCCAGCTGAAAACGAGAGAACAGCGCTTGTGATGGTATGTGCACGCGCTGCCAAGAAGCCAAGATCATCCATCCAGCGAAGCGATGAAATTCAAAACTCAAGAGAAAAGACCATGAGGAGGCCCAAAGATATGTTGTAGTGGCCTGATCAAAGTGGACTTTTCCGAGGTGACGGCAGAAGATGCAACGGATCGGAGGAAGTGGGCGACAGTAAACAAGAACAGCTCACCCTACGACTGCATGGGATTGACGCTGTGGAAAAGATGGTCGACAACAGATCCTCACATAAAGATATAAGGCCTCTCTTTTCAGGTAGGATTATGAACTAATAGTTTCGCGAATTTGCTCAGTTGTGCAACAATCAACTGTAGCTTACCTCAGAATGTCATCCCAAGAGCGCAGTTCGGAAAGTATATAACCTGCCTGCACACATATGAAGTTGTAAGGAGCCAAACCTTAAACAAAAAAAAANAAAAAAAAACGCTAGAAATGGGGAATCAAAGTACCGTGCTTAATAAGTTGCCGCTAAACTACAATTTGTACCTCGTTTCGGTTTGTTTCTTCGAACTTTAACCAATGTAATATTTCGAGTTTGCGTCCAATGTTACCTCTCTCAATTTATGCGACCCTATGTAATTTTATTTGGCTTAAAAACTGTGCTCCTTGTCGTCTTTTTGGAGTACTGGTTTTGAAAAGAAGGGCTATTCACCAGCAAGATGTAGAAACAAGTTTTTAAAAAGCAGAATCTGTCTTCTAGTTCTCAGGTTCCCGCCTGATATCTTTATTGTACAGTCTACATAGTTTATTTTCGATTTAGTAATAATAAATCGTTTGAGAAATTGGGAATAAACCCGACCCTCGTGGGCGGACTCTGGCCTGTCACCCATCATCAATGTTCCCATCCTGCCTCCTGCACTCCCGCCAAATTTGAATGCTCGGGGTCCAGTGGGACAGGAGTTATGAATTCTGATCAAACATTTATTTCGCGCAAACCCGGCCCTTGTGGGCGGACTCTGGGTCTGTCACCAATCATCAAAGTTCCCATCCTGCCTCCCACACTCCTGCCAAATATGACTGCACGGGGTCCAGTGGGACAGGAGTTATGAATTTCCAATCAAACACACACACACATATACCCACATGCACACACATACAGAAGAGCCAACAGACACTTTTAGCCAACTGTACATCTTTGCGCATGAGCACACACGAACTCCTTCCGCGCCACTTCTGTCCTCATAATCCCGTACAACTTCTTTGTGACTTTTCTGAAGGGCCTCTTTTGGATTTTGCCGAATTTCGTACCTTCTTTGCCGCCTTTTCACTATCCTGCATAACTACTTCCTTTGAATTAGGGTGTGTCGATATTATCGTGCTGTGCCTGTGAACTACTTGTTGTCATCTGCCATGTCAACGCTTATTTGCGTAACGTTAATCGGAGGATCGCGGCCATAGGAAAACAGACCCTTTTAACGTATTAGTAACGACCATATTTACTATTAAAATCATGATGGCTTAGAAAAAGGAATGAACATTCGATCAAAAGGCACAGCCCTCTCTATTCGTGCACGGGTCATGAACTCAACTAGGATGCGAGTCCAAAATTTGCAGCTAAAGTATGGCAAGCCTCATTAGCATGCTTCACCAATGAAAGATTCGTACAGTCACCATCTTACCTATGAAAGCTGAAATAATGAAGATCCTCAGTGGAATATTGAGGAATGGTGCCACTATGTTCAGCAGCCACGACGGGGAAATCGGAAAAATCCGTGCAAATAGAAGAAAAGGCAATAAACGATTGGAGTTGTCGTCGATCTGAATTAACAAAAAAAAGAGCAAGAGAATTAGATGATCAACAAATAAATTGCAATCTATATGAGAAACGTGAAACTTTCAAGCGTACTTTCTGTTGCAAATAAGTGAGTTTCTGCCCGAAGTAATACATAACATATTCACGACCAAACTGCTCAGAAAACAGATAGCACAGAGTAGACCCGCCTGGAAAACTCGTAATGAACGAAATGCGCTTGAGAGGAAAAAAGAACGAAAAATTTGGGGTATGTTGAATAGACTATCATCACTCCTTGTAGGCCGATTTTTGGCTGAAGGAGGATTTCCTGGAAGTTAAGATCTCATCTCACAGATTTTTCCCAAGAAATCCTGATCATTTATATATTTTTGCTATCAGTCTAAAATTGTTGCATGTTTAAATAACTTCCCAGAAAGATATCCGAAAGGATGAAAATTCATGTGAGTTCATGCTGTAACCGTTTGATCAGAAAAGATATACCCACAACCTTAATATTTGGGTCACTTTTGCAATTTTTCTCAGCCCCTTTTGATTTGAAAAAGACATACACCACTTTTTAGAGTCGCAGTTTTTTCCCAGTTGAAAATATTGAAACAAGTTTCATCTCTAGATGTGTCTTAAGGCTTCGATCAGTACCGGTGCCCCTGTGTTAGTGACTATTTCCGAAATAAAAGCAGGTATGAACGACGAGAACGAAAACTTACCTGTGGTTAACATGCAACAAAGAAGGAATCCACACCAGAAATCATAGACTGCTCCGGCTATGACATTCTGAAATGGAAAAACAATGTCTGCAGAAATGATCATTTCTTTACCGAAATTCACCACATCAATGTAGCTTCAATCCAGTCTACAGATGGTACCAAAGTTGGAGTCGTTATTTAGGCTATGTATCGCTCTTAGAAAAACACTCGCTCTAATAATCTTCCAGTTAGAGAACCTTATAGCACATGACTGCGATCGCGATATGGTTAGTACAGAGTGGCCCAGCACTTCGGGGCTACACAAAATCTTCTCCTTTCTGCAAAAATTTCCTGAATCTGCAATTTTTTCTAATTCTTCACACTTGTCAGGAATTGTTTCCATTCTATGCCATTCCGGTTAATTCTTTGTTGCCGAGTGTCTCAGGAAGGGAGCGCAATTGCACTCTATGCGAAGATGGGCAAAAATCAGTGCCGCAACACCCTGGATCTTTCCTTTCAACAAGGATTCCCCCTCCCTCACCGGTACTTTATCGTCTAGGATATAGCATACAACACAGCATAAAGCAGCACATTGTCATATCAAATCGGAATCTACTTGAATATCATGCTATCATCCTATTTTCAATTGATTCGAGCCACTTCTGCACAAAAACTAGATGCCAAAGTCGAAAAACGTGAATCTGATTTTCAGTTCGCCTAGGTAGGTAGGCAAACATGTGTAGCACTACGTACTGTATTTGTCATCTTCCTTAACAGTGATCATAAGGGTTACGAAAAACTAGGGGACACTTCAAACAATAATCCCTCAATGCATTCAATCCGTTTATCTAGTGATATAGCTGATATTTTCAAAAAGCCACCAAGTTTACCAGTTCTTGCTATTGAAAACGTATCAAAGATCGTCTGTGATTTCCCAAGTTTAGATTAAGATTAAAAGATCAAAAGATGATTCGAGAAGCGATCTCCAAGATTCTCTTCCCAAACGCTTTACTAATCATGCGCCATAACCTGATGGAAGTGGGTAAATGACAAGCGACTATCTCTCTTTCCAAGCTCCACCGCTCCCCACACAAACGAACTTGAATTAATCGCGCCCTTCACGTAGCCAGCGAATAAAACTTGCACGTCCACTTCTGGTGATGGCTTCGTATATGCGAGCGCGAAACGCAATCATGTCATAAATGCTGCCGGATTGTACTCATGAAACAATTGGGTAATGCTGACCATTTCTACCGATTACCAAATCCTCGATTTTAAAAGATGGCCTTGATTTCTAGTACCGCCATATCTAACTTCTAAATTTTTTCATCTTCTCGGGTAGCCTGCTGTGATTCAATGAAACGCCAAGAATGAGTATTGCTGACGACGATGACAAATGCACTTCATAGGCTAAGCCGCTTTTTCCCATCTAGCTGATTCCACTAGAGATTAGATTATTTTTCAAAAAGTAAGGATCTCCTACAGACTGTTCGAAGACTGTGCATGACCAGGGCAAAGGTAAGCTAAATTCAACTCGGTTAAGTAACGCTCAAAGAAACTCAACCAGGCTCACGCCTAATACTGCTGAATGAACACAATTTGACTAATTGTAAGCTGTATGAAGTATGAAGCTGGTTGTCAGAAACTTCGCAAACCGGTTTAAGGACGCGTTTAAGCCAGTTGACTAAAAAGACCGAGCGAGGAAGATAGGTATAAACCTAAATAAATCTGACTCGAAACCATGGTTCACAAAACTCTCCATAAAAATCACCAGAAGTGAAATAGATGGGCTGATGGGATAATGCACTATGAACTAACAATAAGACACCTTGACATTGACGTGACGACATTATGAGCGGAGAATAGACTGGTGCGCACTCGCTTCGTGAATCTTTATCCTATAATTGCCAACCAACTATCATGGTTTCGATCTCTGTCCATGCGCTCACTCGGGAAGCGCCTTCGACTTCACATTCCCTTTCACGATCATCCAACCGAGTTCGCTCTAGACCAAGTTAGCTTCCCTCTATGGAGATGAAGCTTCTTGAGAGCAGCTTTTTGGTACTCGTTTGTATAATATATAGCAACAACAAAGGGATCACATCTCCACGCCAACGTTGCTAGAAACCTATTTAAGAGAACAAATACTTAAGTGAAAAATACCTTGCTGTTATATTTTCTTTCACGATGTCATTACAAACAATCTGACTCGAATCTACCCTTCCGTAAAAACCAACAAATCAAAGTGAAACTTACTAGGAAAAATGAACCCGGAATTGCGAACGTTTGTTTGTACAAATAGGCACAGATGAAGAGCGTGGTGATATATCCAAAATGATCATCCTTATAGCGACGAAACTTTTCGGCGAGCACTGTGAAGTTCTCAAACTGCTTCGGAAGCTCGAACGCCGCTAAATACTAGTGCATTCAGATTTTTCGCAGAGTTCATAGTTGATTTTTAATGCATCAAAATTCATTTAAAAAAATCTTGATGATTTGGAAACTCTTGGAGCACAATGGACCTCGACTAACTTGGTTTTCTTTCTGATTATTCATAATTGACATGCAATCAATTGTTCATCAAAGTGAATTGGATTTATGGAGAGCCGTGGAGTTGCAAAGTGCCAGCGAGCATTAAGCTACCATTGAGCAGAGCACACCAAGTAATTGTAATATGACATTGAATGAGGATGGGTGGGAATGCCAAGCGTAGGGAGGAAATCCTTAGATTCTAAACCACCCAATGTTCATCATTTCGCTTTTCAAGCAAAATTGAGGGCTCAACACCTAGAAAATGAGAAATTGCCCTTTTCGACACAATCCTATTCTTTTTTGGAAATTTCTGTAGTCGTAATATCTGAATTGTGTGAATCAACAGAAAGGAACATTGTGGACTATTACAAATTTCTATTAACTATCAATACCCGAAAGTAATGCACCTCAAAACAAAAAACTGTCCATTGCTTCAGAAAAGAGATATAGAACACATAGTTTAAGATCTCGATTAGACAAAGTCGTGAGTCACCTAACAAGGTGTACCACTTCAACTCCAGGAAATACGAGGTGAAATGTTGAGAAAGTCAAAAGTTTCACAAGCTGCTCAAAGTTGATTAGTGCTGATTAAATCATCAGACTAAGTGAAGCCTGGCTAGTTCTTTTCAACCAGGGGCATACTGTTTTTTCTCCCTACAGTACAGGTAATTCAATGATCACAGAGATACGGATTGCTTACCATACATATAGTTTGTAGAAAATAATTAAATAGACAGAAAGCAATCACGATTCTTGAAAACGATTTCTCCAAACGGCTGTTTTAAACGCTTCTCAAAAGCTTGAACGCTTTTATTTTTCGATATATAATCGAGGCTATGCTTTCAACGTGGAGATTTAATAGAGCATTTTTGGCACATTCCTTTTTCTTAATTCTGTCGTGGCAAAAGAGTTGTTAGTGCTTTTCACGATATGTGTAAAACATGACCTGGCAATTTCTTTTTATAAAGTTCATGCGGAAACTGATCCACAACATTTCGTTCCAGCAATTTCTCACTTCAAGGTGGGACGTAGCCATGGATGATGATCTTTCGACGGCATTGACCGCGTCCGATCTTCATGTTACCCATGTGGGAACTTACTGAGAAGATTAAGGCATCTATGGGAATAGTTAATAATAATATTCAGAAGCCAGATGTTCAAATGCTACATTAGATGAGGACGAAACTGGGTAGATAGGTAGGTCAAAAATCAAAACCAACAAAATAAAACAATAAAACCACCTTCACTTTCCCAGCCTGGTGCTGAACATATCATATACCAAAGGGATAGCGATGAGATCGCAAATATTCCGGGAAGAATGAAGAGCCGTGACATCGATTGATTTTTGTTGGCAGAGAATATCGATCGAGATTATCGATTGCGGTCACGACGGAATAATTTCTGTTGTCCAAAGGAAAATGTGGCTAGCGGCTATCCATTTCTTGAACGATTCGTCGTCGTCGTGGTCGTCGTCCGCCCACCCCGAATGTGGAAACCGGCTAAGTCGTGGCTGCTGCTGATGATGTGTTGATGCTTAGGCTGCTGATGGGACTCACTGGAAATAAGTTTATCATTCTTTGATAAAATTCAACAGATTTATTGGACACAATGAGCGGTATGAGTGGAATTCTTTCGCAGGAACGGTAAGGAAGATGGTCTTCATAGTGGGAACCACTTCCAGCTTAGAAGGTGACAGGAGAAAAAATTCAGAGTGGAGGTATCGTTGTTACGAAATGCCGTGATGCTTTTTGAAAGAGTAATAGCCGAAATTATGATGGGCAACGAGTCCTATACAGTGAAGAAATTGGGTGAAAAGCAGAAGTTGAATTGAAGAAAGAGTAAATATCAAACGAATCCTCGAAAGTTGAAAGAGCAACTTTTTGTATTCTGAGCTTAATACGGGAAGTGAGGAAACCTAGGCTTCAGATTAACGGACGGAAATTCGCTTGAGTAGAAGTAGTAGGTAATCAGCGCGATTGTAATAACAGTAATATCTGATGAATATGTAAAAGTTTAAAATCTTAAATCGATTAGCAACGATTGGAAAACAAGCTCACCCATCACCATTCGTAGTTTGACCCCGTTTCCGACTACAGTCAGAAGAGAATTTCGAACAAGAATCTTATTTTTCAAAAAAAAAAAAAAAACTATTGGATTCAAATGCAAAGAGCAACAATGCGAATGAAACAAAGTTCAATTGTGATATCTGTAATGCTCAACATTGATAAATTTCGCTTCGAAATGGTTCCATACTCGGCTTACATTTCTGACAACCGTAGCATTTGAAACTGGTAACATATATTACTTGAGTCCGTACAGCGAAGACGGAGACCACCCGAAGTACAGAACAGTCTCTTTTTTAACGAAATGTTCGCTTAGCAGTGGTCAGTCAAAGCGGAGAAACTGAAAAAATTTAATTACCAGAGAAGGGTTTCACCTTCCCATGCAACTCCGGAAGGAGACCTTAGAAGATCGATAGAGTTTACAATACTGTTCACAAGTATAGAAAGTTTAACTGCTTAATAAGTTCCTCGAAAAAGTTCCTGGTCACCAGGAATTCGTTGGAGATAGTTCCAACTGAAGTTTGCAGTTGTCCGAACCACAGCAAGTTCGTGACGTAGAGGTAGTGCTTTCTTCATCAGCGAGAGATTTGCGCCATACTGGCATTTTTCAAAGCTATACAGTCGAATTCGCTCAGGAAAAAGCGTGGGATGCTTGTGGGATTTTCAACTGTGTCGATTGGATTTCTGCACTGCGGGAACCGTAAAACTAAAAACTTCTGGAGTATTTCATTCTTTTTCTGCACAGCGTGGTCTCACATGAGAGCTTTCATAACATTTTCCGACAATCATTCGAATTAGCGCCTTACTGAGGCTACTGATTACACTCACCGCACCTACTTTGGACAGCAGGTTCCTGCAGATACTGAATTATACGGCCCGTTTTTCTTTTCAACATTGGAGCACACGAGAGAATCATCTTGGATTAATTACGTGTAAAAAACTCAACATTGGTGAGACAACCAAGAAAGTGTGAAGGATATGTGTTTACAAATTTTGTCTTTGTACCTGCAGCCTCTCTACAGGCATACAAATGTGAGTCAACTGTCCAAAAGGCACCGCTCACGATAGAACTGATTTTTAGGACTTCCTTCTAAGATAAACCAGCGACTCCCAACTCCTGGGAACGATATCGGGTTGAAAAAGGGCTCAGATAAGGGGTAATAAAGGCCCCAAAACCAGCTTAGCCGAGATAAAACCCTGAGGATGAGTTCTTATGGCGTTAGCCGGGCCGTACACGTTGTACGCAAGCAGCTTTCTCTAGTCAGCTGTACGCAATGGGCATACACACTTGGACAACTAGTCCAATCACCCCTTCCAGATTTTATAGTCACATAATTTTCCAATTCCTATTTTTCTAGGTACGCCGACTTTCGTGTTTCTTAGCCCAAGCTATCTACCCTTCTGAAACTACTCTTCTAAAACTCGAACCCCAAAATTAACGTGAAATGCGCCTTCAAGAATGAATAGGGTACATAGAGATAGATCAAATTTGGACATGGCAGACATCAGTAGACACTTCCTGTTACATGACTGATTAGTTTTCATTTTACCAAGTCGTAAACGACCATATGTCCTGAAAAAAAAACCATGTAAGTTACATGCTGAAAAGTTCCATCTTGCGTAACTGCGCCAGCGTAGACGATGACCTAATGACGCATTTACTCAAATAAATATGAGGAAATGTTATATAAATTTTTACAGTAAAAAAGCACGCCATGCAATAGCGGTGCCCATGGCGGGAAGCAAATCCGAATCAGTCAAAATTACCGGTCAACTTCATATCGATGTACCATCGCAAATACTGCTTGGATTGCTCAAGTGTAGCAGATTTCAACACAATGGTATATCGAGTCATTTGACGTGTCTGCGCTATACACCAACGTTAGCAAACAAAGGGACGTTCGGATTGAGCAAAGCACAAGTAATAGTTCTTTCAAGGAGTGCTTGAGCTGCAACGTATTTCAGTGGTGCGGAAGAGAGATACTTCTTTCAGGTAAGAGGTACTGCTATTGGACAGGGCTAGCACCTGCTCTTGTTATGTGCTTCACTAGTAAAATCGAATGTCTAGGGCTTGCACGCTTGCCCATAATGTACTGCCGTTAAATCGACGACCTAAATGCATGTGTTGTTCGACATCCTTAACAGTCAACCGCAGAACGTCAAGTTAACACAGAACGTAACACGAGAGAGTTTACGTGAGAATTGGTTGCCCTCTCTGATTATTCAGGTAAGGGTAATCGGTGGAACATACAGCGTGAAGTGGTATAGAAATGGAAGCCTCAAGAATATCGTAGTTCAGGCAATGTCGGCACACTCCAGAGCTGCTAAACGCACAATATTACGGAATAGGTACAAAACGGCTGCGGAGGTGTGCACCGAGAAAGAGGAGCGAGAAGAGTTTAGAAGGAAAGCGCACCAAGTAGCTGATCTCAAAAGCACAGTTCACTGTAAAAATGGTTTCTGAGTTCCCCCTCTAGGAATACCTAGGGGTCCCCAAAGGTAACAGGAAGGACGCTGTCGAGTCCCAAAACCCAACAGCTAGGGCATAGTGGTAGCCCCGTCACCGGATCGCCCGGACTTCCCGCCGCTCGACTGATGTCATGTCAGACGAGTGCCGAGGCGTAACAGATTGCAATATTCGTTCTAGGACCCACACACAATCAGCTGGTCACCGAGTAATTAGGCATGTTGTTGTCCTTTTCTTTAACTCCCTGTTATTCTTTTTGTTGCTGCGATCCTTTATTTAATTTTCTACCCAAAGAAACTGAAAAAGATCGGCTATTTTTGCTGTTACTAGGGCTTTTTGTCAAATAATGCTTATGAGTGGATGAATTTTTTGCTTTCCGTAGTCAGCCACTCGCACGGGAACTCACACGTAGGCCATGAGACATATTGTATAGCTCGTCCACACGCCCCATTCTCTTCATTTGTTGGTCTCATTCTAGCCCAGCCCCCCTTTTAACAATTTTTCGAAGCCTTTTTTTTCACTTTGGAAACACCGATTCACGCAGTTCCTTCATCGCGCTATTTTCCACTTTGTCCACCATTTTCCGATATAATCTGGATTACCCAAAATTATCGTGAACCGTGCTATCAACCGAAACACAGGGCGGCAGCACGACACACGAAGTAGACCACGGCCTTTTCCATGAGGAACTAAAAATAAGTGTATCTTCAATTACCATAATATATGAATATCAGACCGATCAGCGCAGTCACATCCTAATATATTAGGTCGTGAAGAAAGTTCTTGCGGTTTTGCGCCTCAAACTTCAAATGCATATATCTCGGCTTGAACGAAACTTTATCAATCGAAATAACAACCATTACTATCGACACACTTTTGTTAACGAAAAACAAGTTCGAGTATCCCATTCGCATAGAAGTCCGGAAATCTAGAGGCGATGAAATCGTCGAATGCCGCGGCAGCAACATTTTGGGTTTTGAAGCATTTCTCCTTGACAAAGCGTCGAGATGTTTAAAGAAATGGTAGTCTATGGGAGCAAGGTCTGGGGAATATGGTGGATGCGGGAGAGCTTCATAGCCTAGCTCCATCAATTTCCTCAGGGTAAGTTGTGCGACGTGAGGCCGAGCGTTGTCGTGGAGTAGAATTGGCCCCCTCCTATTCACCAGTGCCGGGCTCATGAGCTGGAGTTTTCGATGCATTTCGTCAATTTTTTGGCAGAACTTTTCGGCTGTTACGGTTTCTCTCGGATCCATGAAGCTGTGGTGGATCAGCCCGACTGCAGACGACCAAACAGCACCATGACCTTCTTTCCATGCTGCTTCGGCTTGGGAAGATGTCGTGGGGCTTGATCCTTGTACAGCCACTGGCCTGATCGTCGCCGGTTGTCGTACAGAATCCTTTTCTCATCACACGTCACAATACGGTCTAGAAATGGATTGTTCCTGTTGCGCAGAAGCAAGGCGGAGGCGAGCTCGTAGCGGCGGTCTTTCTGGTGCTGAGTCAACTCATGCGGCACCCACTTATCGAGCTTCTTCTACTTCCCGATTTCCTGCATGTAGGTGCCAACCGTCCTGCTGGAAACACTCAATCTTGAGCCAATATCCTTCAGCGTTGTACGTGGATTCTCTTCCACTAACGCTCTCATTTGTTCGTTGCCAACGGCCGATGGCCGCCCACTGCGCTCATCATCTTCCAGGCTCTCATCACCGGTACGAAATTTTTCAAACCACCACTGTGCTCTGCGTTGATTCACCGTACCTAGATCTAAGTCATCGTTGATATCTCGGTCCGTTTCCGCCGCACTC